CGTATCTCTCAGGTTGATCGAAAAAACTGCAATGTGGTGTCCTTTTGTCTAACGTTCCCTTCATATAAGATAGGATGGAGAATGAGAACCTTTCCACTAGTCTGTCTTTTAATGGCGAAGTCATCACCGAAATCCTCATAAGACGACAGGATGGAGAAGCAACTGGCAAATTTAACGCTGCTTTTTCAAAGTTCGGCACTGATAACTATACAGAATAAATATAAACTACCCATGTTGACCATGTCAAAGAATGTTTACTCGTTCAGATGCGCTTGTGTCGCACGCCACGTCGTTTGTACGGCACAGCAGTTGTCTATCCACATGAAAGAACACCATCCGCGTCAAAGTGGATTCGGATCTATCCAAGTGCGATTCGTACCCACTTGGTAGACACTAACCAAAATATTAACCTGAGTGAAGCATTCTGCATTATTTATCAGTTCCCCTCGAACCGGTCTAAATATGTTAGAATGCGTACATTGGTCCGAAAAAATACGTAATTGGATGATCGGAAACATGAAGGTCATGGGAGCAAACCGAAAGTAGTGGCGACCTTATCACTTCTCATCGGACTGGAATGTTTCAAATAGTGTGTACACAGTTGGATGTTTTACTCTGTGTTGACCATCGAGGTTAACAATCTTTCCCCGTCCGCCGAAACAGTCCTGATCCCTGTCCCCTTGGCACGTTCTCACATACTCACTCACTCACACTCAATGCATATAAATGCATTGAGTTTGACAGTGCAAAACGCAAAAATACGCTGGTAGATATCTGACACTTTATTATTTTCAAAACTCTTAGGTTTTATCGTCTGTGAACTTCAATGGCTCTTGAAAACAGTTAATCTACTGAAGTGGTGTTTAAAATACTAATATTAGCTTGTTCTGGTATCTCAAGAGGATTCCATTTAATGCAGGTATTTGACTGATCTGATAGCCTGCGGGTATGGAATGAGCAAAGACTGAACGTTGAACGTAAAGCTAGTTTTATCCGGTTGGATTTGATGGACAAAATCGCTAACACTGGATTTCCGTACGTTCTGTGATGGCTTCATGCTCTGCCATTTCTGTAGTAGAATGTTATGAGAAGAATATTTCCTGTGGTTCAAATTCCCTGATGCAACACCCTGACTACTCAACTGCTCCTGATCTTCACTTGATGATTCGCATAACAGGAAGCGGTTTGTACAGATTATCAGTTGTCTTGCAGGAATGTTTCCCATCCACTTCCAAAGGAAAATCCTCTAGTCTTATGGCCAACTGGTATCGGAATTCTTATCTCTACACTGAAGGTAACGGCCCTGCATTTCGAGCTCACAAGGCATTCCTATAGATAAAACACTAACTTAAATAACGCAATCTCCTGAACACTCAACGTTACGAGCTTTTTCCATCACTCAATATGAGTGCAATCAACAGCCTCCAACGCGCATTAGCTAAGTCGTTTCTGACCCGTTAGTAATCAGCTACTTTTGTTATATGAGTAGAGCCATTAACTGATTTCGCTTCTCTACAGCAAGTGTAACCGCCCCCATTTATGTATTTCTGGCTCGCGTTTAACAATGATCGCGACAAAGCCAAACTATGTATCTGCTCGACACGATCGTTGAGTCCTGTTCGGATCTCACAACAGTTACCTTGCCTAAATCATTATGCTTGCTTTTGCTCATGTGTTGTAAGCTTTGTCCCTTGACTGCTAGTTTGCTCAATATGTTTTGCAGGGCATTTTTTATAACAATCACTTTTGCGAGCCAGCTATAATCGGGAATTTCCCAGCATGTAATTTCAGAGTTACTATGACCGTTATCAACCCTCAAATCGTTCATCACAACTATATTGCACTGGAAACAGCTGACAGTAGACGCCATGTCTCCAAATCGTCGGTTTAGTTTGACCGGAAAACCTTATCCTTATCCGTCGCGGAGAGGATTGCCACCAAGATGACGGAAAAAGTTCGAAGCATCTGAGCGTTCATTCGTTCTGTTCGCGAAGACTATGTAGTCAATGAATCTTCAAGCACCACTGCAATGGAACAGATAAGTACAGATTTGGGACCTGGGTGTAAACAGGACTTTGCATGGGAAATCAGTATAATAAAAACATAAAAATCCCGTGATGATCAAAGATAGGGGTTGAAAGATTGAATGATCAAATACATCGTCTCCTGTCAAAGGAAAAGGAAAACGTTAGAATCAGATATCCGTGGGTTAAGTACAACTGAGAATAGTATGAAATGCATTAAAAACTGATGAACCAGAAATCGTATTCTACAGTAAACCCTGTTCACTCCATGTTTCGCCTCGTACATGCTGAATCTCTCAAAAATATCACGGTTGTACAAGGTGCAACCCTTCATTGGTAGCCCCGACAAACGTGGACTGAAAAAGGGAGAAACGTACGGTATATGTGGGGTTGATCAGTCTAATCGGGGTTACGAAGGCGCCGATAAAGAGAGTGCTGAACCGGGTTGTGGTTCTCTGTTCGTTAACCTGACGACGACGTCATACTACGTATTGTCAGATATTCAATAAAGACGCTTAAGTCACGTTAGTTGCAGTTAGTAGCATCTAGCCTACCTACAATTCATCGAATCATGGTGAAGATTCTACAATGGACTGGTTCTGACCAAACAAATTTACCCGGTGTTGCAGATAAGGTTAGCGTGAGGAATATATTACCCGAATAAAAAGACTACCAGATACGCATACCTGACGAGCGGAGAAACCGGTCGTTAGTAACATCTAAACCACCTGGAAAACACCGTCAGTAGGATGATCCGATGTTTTCCAGGTGAATTAGATGCTACTAACCGCAACAAACGTGACTGAAGCGCCTTTGTGCAATATTCTTAGCGTATATTCCGGTACCCGGTGGCACGTTCACTCGCTTGGGTTTTGGTGACTGTTTCTGTTACAAGTTTCTCCTGTCCTCATTTTGGTGACTGAAATCGACGTAAACTGAGTTCTCAAAAATTGACAACTCACTTCTCTCAAAACGAATGTTCTTCGTAAAGTAAGGTGGAACGACCATACAATCGACTTCGAACTGGAAAAATAGTTCATCCAGAAAGTATTTTTAATAAGTGGTGTTTTCGTCAGACTATTATCAAGCAGTTGTACTGTGCTGAGATTCATCAAATTTATTTGAAGCTCACTGTTGCTCGTCGAACTGTGATTCGCCGGCTATTTGACTTCGGTGAACGGAATAACGAGGGGGTCGTTTTGCGTTATACAGACCCAAATCGTAAATTTTGTCCAGCACACCATCGGGTACAAGGTAGCGAACGGTTTCACCAAGTGATAGGGCACGGCGAACCAGGGTTGCACTCAGTGCGTTTTGGCACCAATCCGTAATCAGCAAAATATTGGACTGAAAAACCAAAAAGAAACCAGTGAGGATAAACGGACAACCTTCCACAGAGAGTTACGTCTGTAACCTATTTCGTATGAACGATTGCTAATACTACAGATTAGTTCACAAGAAAAGACGATAATTCTGGGTGTTTTCGATCTAGTATACCCTATCAATTTCACGAACTTCCTGAATGACACAATTCGAAAGATAAAAGACTAGGTGAAACGAAATTTGCAGAAGTCATTGATACATGATATGACTGAGTCCGCCCGAAACGGAAAAATAAGTACCAAACCCACAGAATCGAATTCCAATGGAAGCTTTCTTCCTTGGTCTTCGATTTTCCATAACACTAAGACCAGTTTCACTTCAGTTTGTACAACCATTAACCATGCACTTTCGTTCGCCGGTTTTGGTTGTTGCCTTTTGGCTGCCCATTTGGATGAACAATTGGAGAAAGGCAGGAAAGGCTGAAAGTAGGATCAAAGGGGAAATCTACATTTTCAGTGGGCTAATGTTGCAGAGAAATTGACAAGATGCAAGAACGCCACTCTTTACGACACTCAGCCATATCACTCATTGTCTCTAACCATCCCGGGGTCCCCAGCCAGGGATCTATGTGACCCAGTTCCCTGGTTAGGGTTTTCATACTACTCATGCTGTCTTAGCTCGACTTGACTTTTTCCACCCACTATCGGTCTCGGCTAACATCGGTCGCCGTGGCAACCTATTTGGTGCGTGCGCAACACATGCTCCAACCAACGTAATTTATGGAGGTCAACCACTTGCTTCAGTGAGCGACCCCGATTGCTGAAAACTCTACGTCTAACATCAGCATTGCCCGTCCGGTTAACCCACCATATCCGTGCAATCCTGCGTAGCCAGCGCTGTTCAAACACCGACAGTTTATCTGTCCTGTTTTCTAAATGGCCAAGTTTCTGTGCCGTATAGCAGAACTGCTGCTGTTTTGTTTGCTGGTGCGTCGATTATCCACCCGCTGCTCACGATTGGCCCTTAATCTCATGCACCGAATGAGGCAAGTGGGACACCACCTTATTGGCTTAGGGCTACCCAGCTTGGGCGGTAGCTACCCAATGAAGTGCGAAAACTTCCCTTACCGTCGAGAGGAAGCCCCACGTACCCCGCTTCTACGTCTATGTAGCGGTTTTTTTACCGGCATACTACCTCTCACCATGTTTATTTGCTGGAGTGGCCTCTCCAGGAGCAGATGTGGATAGACGAAGGAGGCCAAGAATTGCCCAAGCAGCCTGCTATGTGAAACTGAGCTTTGTCGACTCATTGACCTTTCAGGCATGATTGGATCTATGTATGTGAAAAGCCATCCTTAGTACCTCTCAAGGTAATGGAGGCACGCAAGCCATCACACCACGTCAAGGTGATGGACCACTAAGATCCATAGTTTAGAAACACAATACCAATTTGTATATTTTTTACCAAAAATTGAAACCGTTGGTCCCGTCTTTAAAAGACGCAGAATACTGGATGAAAGCTAAGTTGGTGGATTTAGGAGGACAATATAGAACAATGATTTCAAAACAACTTTCCCTGGTCAAAACAGAACATTCGGGTGCACTGAAGGAACTTCAGTCCAAGAAAGATCCCGTCATTCTACATCCAGATAAAGGATCTGGTGCAGTTAGTCGACTGAACCTAATCCGCGTGATTCCACGAAGTTCCTGCCTGGACTGTCGTGCGATGACCCAAGAGACTTGCTGTCGAAAATCAGTTTCTTCTCGAAAAAATTTCATCGATTGGAAAACAGTTGGAAAAGTCAAGACACGAGGGAGTCTCTCTCCGCAACTGTACGGATTACCAAAATTACACTAATCTGGTGAACTACTGAGACCTATACCGTCAATGAGGAACCCGCCACAACATCCACTGGCAAAGTGGCTTGTCAATGAACAGTCAGTGAGAGGTCCTATGATCAAGTATACCGTGAAAGATACCTTTGACATGGGAAAAAAGTAGATCAACTGAAAAATGCCGATAAACACATGGCTTCGCTCGACCAGCAATCATTATTTGTCAATATTTCTGTTCGCGAAGTTATTCGAATAATTTGTGACCACAAAGGAACAGAACCAGTGAGAACTGGTCAACCAGCCTCCGTTTTGGAGACTCTTACTCCTGTGCACGCCAACAGTAAAGGACAAAACACAACAGATCGAACAACAAATCACGGGTACTGAAACGGCTCGGTCGAGAGTGTTACATAAGCAGTGAGATATGTAAACGAACGATACCTGCATTCGAAGGCTATATGGTTTACCAAAAATCCATAAATCCCAAGTTCTCTTTCGTCCCATCATATCGATGACATATTCTCCATACCATTCTGTTGATCAGTGGTCACGGGACTTCCTTCAACCCGAAATGTAAACGGCGATCGAGAAATGGTGTTAAGAATAAGTTCCAGTTTACTGAGGCAATACGCGATATACATGTATCAGGTAAAGTTATGTTCTCTGTGTATATTACATCACTTAGCACGAATGTCTCCATCCAGTTTGGGTTACCCAGAGAAGTGCAAACTCTTAATTCTGTGTGTACATGAGGTTCAGTGTCTTTTCAACGAAACGATTTATTAAAATAAAGAGGGAGTAGCATTGGGATCATCACTTTTGGTAGCTTTGTATGGCGCTGCTGGAAAACAACTGACTGTAAAGTACAACTATACAATAGTCTTAGTGAATAGTATCGCTTTACAGACGACATATTTAGCATAAATGAACTTGACGGTGCTGGCCCGGTGGTGACGTCACCAAATTGTCACCCCAGGGGAGGTGTATTCGAATTCTCCCACCACCACATGACGTTCCCGATTATGTATTGGATTGCAGCCCTTTGACTGGCCGCTTTCACTTCCAAAAAGACTATCTTTATATATTCGATAAAGGAAGTAAAAATGAAAAAAAATACTGAAAGAAAATTTCAACTTTGCACATAGGGCCAACTAATTTACAAAGGAGAATATCGAATATCGTTTCCAGATATAGTTCTCGTTAGAAAATGTGGGAGATCCATACGTCGTGTATAGCAATGATAGTGGACATTACGCGAATTTTCAGTTATATGCGGGGCAGGCTGAAAAAGAACGTGATAAAATAGCCTGACAGCGATCAATGCAGTTCGCATCACTGTACTGTTCGTTGGCCATAATCGAAACCAGCCATATGAAAGATTTGATCCCCGAACTATGTGTCCAGAAGCGACTAATCCAAGCTTTCCATGGGTTCACGAACCTAACCCTACTCTCTGCCCGTAAAGAAAAATTTTTACACAACACCGACCCCTCAGAGGTGGGTCACATCTCCATCACAACTGAAACTTCCGGGAGCACAGAACTTAGAATGTAGAATGTAGAACTCACAAATATAATGTTATCTCACAGTTCAACGTAATCCTCTCAAAGCCTAGATGCTATCCTCGCATATAACATGTATCAGCGTGGAATATATATGCAATGTGAATAAACCGATGAAGCAAACTTGAATACATCAAACTAAATATGGCTCACTTCGTATTTGCTCAGAATTTCTGATTCGAACACGATCTTGGCCGGGTTCGACTGAGGTCGGCTAATGCAAACGATTCCATAGTCCCGAACCAGCACTTCTATCTTTAACGAAAAGGAACATAAATTGTTTCAGGTGGTTTCAAATAGCGACACATCTAGGTAACTGAAACTGAGAAATAACGCTTATAGAGAAAAAAGCCTTTGTTAACTGATCTAATAGCGTATGAAAACCTCACTTTCATATTACACCACATATTTGCTTTAGCTCTCATAGGGCACTTACCAATGTCCAATCAGGTACACCATAAGAACAGGTGTTTAAGCACCAGACTAGGCCAAAAATAGTCTCGTGACTCAAGGCCCAAATCAAAATCTCCTTTGTACTACTACAAATGATCAGCATTTAAAAACTACAGCTGACCACGGTAGATTTTAGGGTAGCCCTAACACAGCTCGTGTGCTCAAACACTCACGTACATAAAATTCTGATCCGTAATAGAAAAACGCAGCAAGTATACGGATACAAACGTAGATACGCTTAAAAGCAGAGCAAACTGGGAAGCGAATGGTCAACCGCAAGAGCAGGCATTACATGCATACACGCGGTGAGGTCAAGTCTGACCATCAACAAAACTGAATAGACTAAAGGGAACAGTTCACTAAAGAAATCTGATTGCCTGAAGGATTGAACTTATAACAGTAGGGACAATTCATTTTGCACAACAGAAATGCTAAAATTCAATTGTTAAGTTGTTACCCTTCAATTAGGAAATTCATCCTGAGCATTGCTTGATCAGGGCACGGAACACGATAGACCTATACGACTTGCTCTAGATAACTTCTGCCATGACGACAGTAGAACCAATCGAACATGAATATTGTAAAGTCGGTTTACGTGACGAAAGCAAGAGCAGGCGAGATGACTACATTTGTTCGGATGACTTATGTTTCTGTTCTTCGTTTGCGCACACGAACACAAACTTGCTAACTTCAGCCATCATTTAGTGCGTGCCTCTGTCAGTCGCGTGCTGGTATTTCTGGGGTCGTCCGAATGTACCATCCTTACATGTAAGAAAACGCAGAGTAGTGAACAAGCTCGTTTGCGGTGATTCTTCTACAAGCCGATACATCACAATTTACATCAAAACTGCCAAGGAGGAGACGGGAGGAGAGACAGAAATGATGACAAATTGGAAGAGAAATAAACAAAAGTTGGTGGGGTAGTACTTAACCTTGAACATTGTACATTAGCGTGCCGTCTACTTCGCACGCTTCATTAACGTAGTACGGATGAGTTGGTATAGTTGCCGAGTACTTCCATACCTAGACGATGATTCCATCTTTGCACGAAGCGCCCATCGAGCTTCTTGGTCGTCTCTCAAACTCTGTATGAGTTCACGCTCTAGAGAGAGGCGCTGTTTACTATACTCGCTGTCTGCGGGGATAACACGACACGCGTCAAGAAGTCTGAGTTGGAGAAGAACCAGTGTTCCATAACTCGACGGGTCAGGCTGCAGCGGTGTAAACTGGCTGAGTGCATTGCGTTTTGAATGGTTGTCCAGTGTTGATCTACGCTTCTTGGTGGGGTAGTATTTAACCTTGCGGTCACCTCGGCTAGCACAGCCGGATCAGACAGCTTGCAACGTACACCGTTGGAATGTTTTTTTTTGCGGTCACCAAATCGCATAGACAATTCGGCACAAACCAGTGCGTGGTCGGAGTCCAAGTAGTTAGAACAGTACGAAACGGCAGTCTTTCACACGTTCTCTCCATCTATAACCAATAGCTATATGATCAATATGACTCCACATCTGTGCCGAACAGGGGTTCCACCAAGTGGCGAGCTGACGCTTTGGGTATCTGAAGTTCGTCCTAAGGAGAGGACTATCCCCATTATCTGAACGACAGCTATCAAGGCCATGACAGTCACCAAGTTGAATCTCATCAAGTAACGGCCAACGCGTACGTTTATGTCTCGGGCCAGCATCACGATCTCCGTCTTAGATGCTCTGAGAAGAAGCTCGTGTAGGTTGTAATAGAAGACATCTTTGACTACAGCCGGGCTACAATCTGTGGGAGCGTATGCAAAAACCATGGAAAAGCATCGTTCATTTGGTTTCTGATTTTTTTAACTTTACTTGAGCCTGCGTCTCACTGCACATAGTCGGCCATCTATCGGGATCCAATCCAATAGACTAGCCTCGGTCCTGGCGCTTAAGGCAATGCCAATGCTTGCTTGACCAGACATTGATGCGATAATTACTTTACTTCTTACTTACTGACTCCCGCGGGAGGATAAGTCGGCTTCTTGGATGTCTCTAATGATGGCAACCCATGCATGACGATCGGGTAGCAAAGTTGACACAGTTTAAAACCTAGTTCTGGTTACGAATTCTATATACGCATTGGAAGCCCAAGTCCACCTTGATATTACTGCTCCAGGTCTTCAGTTGAAAACCGAGTCGGCAACGATATCTAGGGCACGGCGTGCGGGCTCCAGAATGTCGCGAGAATTGAGTGTTGGGTCTTCGGAGCGCATAAACAAACCATTGAAAGCACCGGTGTTGTAGCATTTTTGAAAGCTTGTCAATGTGTAAGGAAGGCCGTCGAACCTCATTATTGGAAATCCGACCTCTCCAATTTGCTTTCGAGATGCGGCGTAAGCATCAATTTTCAAAGAGTTCGAGCTTCCTTGTATCTTGTATTCTTAGCGGTCAGGTTTCACAAACATAAGTGAGTATCGGGCGGATGGAAGCCTGATAAACCCGAAGCTTAGTGTTCAAGCTTATTTCGCACTGATTCCACAACGGGTTGAGGAGTTGCAGGAGGGCTCTTCTAACTCCGAGGACACAGAGTTGTATTTTATCCTCAGCCTGGCCGTTTGGTCTTATCGTAGAGCCAAGATACTTGAAAACTTTGGTTGTTTCGACAAGCTTTCCGTTAATCGAGAAGGGTTGTGTCATGGCAGAAGTTTCAAGTGAAAACGTCTTCGTTTTAGACGTGTTGATCTCTAGCCCAATGGGACGGGCAAACTGAGTTATACAATTGCCAACAGACTCTAGGTGGTCCATGATGTCTCCAGGCACAACGACATCATCCGCAAACTCGAGGTCAGTAATATATGCACCTGGGTCAAGCTGCACTCCGGGGTAGTCGACGAGTGCTTATCGCATTATCCAATCTACGGTGTAATTGAATAACCGGCGATAGGGGATAATCTTACCTGACTTCACAGCTTAGGGTGAACTCAACCGATTCTTCTCCATGGGTACGGACGCGTGCCCGGGTTCTTGAATAGTATGACATAAAAGCCTGATGAATTTGTCACGCATCCCGTCGAACCGCAATGTGCACCACAAGGATTCTTTATCAAAAGTCAAATGCAGCGCGGAAGTTAATGAAACATGCTGTGGTAGACTCTTGGAACTTGTAGCGGTGTTCCAGAATCATACGGAGAGTGAAGATCTGTTCATACAACCTCTTCCGCCGCGAAAGCCCCCTTGGTTTGGGAGGGTGCGGGTATCCCTGACGACTGCTAAGTGATTAAGCAGTATCACTGCAAACAAATTGTCCGTAATATCAGTGAGGCTAATATCCCTGTAATTTTCGCATCTAGATCTGTCACCCTTTTTCGGCAGCCGGACTAAAATTGAAGTTACCCGGTCTTTTGGAAAAACCTCTTTTCCAAATGGGGTGGAAAAGAGTGTGGTGGATCGATCACAGTTGGTAGGCAAGCTTTGAATAGCTCCGGTGGTGCCCCGTCTTCTCCAGGGGCCTTCCTGTTTTTCAGAGAAGTGACTACATTGATGATTTTTGTCGTATTAGGTGGATTACAATTGACGCCGTGGGCTCCGAACTGCTTGACACCTGTGCAGAGCCAGGTTAGTTACATGGGCCATCGAAGTGTTCGACCCACCCATACACTTTCTGTTCAGTTCCCTGAATAAGTTGGCCCGTGGTGCTGCGCAACAGTGGTTCCGATGTCTGTCTCTTTCCTGCTTCGACACAGATTAGACAGAATAGCTTTTCAAAGTCCGCTGCGACAGTTGCAGCCCCTATACTGTCTGCAATCGTCTTCCAGTATTGTTTACGGAGAAAACGAAATTCAGGAGAATTGATCAGCCGCGCATCTCTTGCCTTTGCGGACAACTGCACTGTACGCTCAGAGATCCAGTTTCTCTTGTGGCGAAGAGTCTTACCTAACTGCCCCAGCGCAGCTTCTTTGATGAATATTTTCAGCGTGAACCACTGCGCGTCGACAGTTGAATCGCCGAAAGAAGTTGCGGCTATGTTGGAGGCGTTTGCGTCCAGCAGCACCTGTCTTTTCTCAAGTCGTTCCAAGAGCACGACCTTGAGATTGACCGGGAGACGAGTCTGTCGGCTGGCAGTTTGGTGGAACTTTAAGCAGGTGCCGTTCCTGTTTCCGGTTTCTGCGCCGCGATAGGAACGGCAATTCACCACCGAAAAGGCACAGCGAGCACGTACCAAATTATATGCAACCTGATGCGCCGTTCGACCGTCATTCGAGTACGACATAAGTAGGTGTTAACTGGGGTACTAAAAGCGGATACTGGCCACGACCAGCCAGTTAAGGTCAGAAAGTGTGACTAGGCGTTCGCCATTTTCGCAACACTGACCCCAGCTGAGTCTTCCTAGAGCATGCCGAGTATGCTGGTGTGGCGGACCAGTGCATGCATTCCAGTCTCATGCGAGAATGTCGCTTCTCGGACTGCGGTTCACTGCGCCTTGAACTGGATTGTAGAAGTCGTCTCCGATAGGCTTTTCGGCATGCAACGTTGCAGCAAATACAGCAATGACAGTCGGGTTAAACGGCTTACCTCTGAAGCGCGCTATGACAATCCTAGGAGAGATTGGTTCCCAGGAGATCAT